TTTAAAAATATTTCCCCCACCAGACCAGAAGTTTCTCAGAGACACAGAGCAGAAGGTTCTCAGGGACAGAGATTATGGCAGATAATTCTGTATTCTCCACAGAACCTAGCACAAAGTTTATAAGATTTTGTTAATTAAATATATATTGATTAAGCATCCAGAGTTCTCAAAAATCTATGGAAAAAATAGAGTTATTTTCCCTTTATGCTTAGTTTTAATGAGTGGAGAGCTTTGGGGATTGCAGATGCACCCTCACTCTCCTTTTACTTCCTATGCATAGGTGGGTAGGAAGTTATTTGCTGATTAGATGAGGCAGTTTTACCCTTTGCAGAATGACAGCCTAGAAACATAAAGGGTTACAATATTTTTAGAAGTAGACCACAAGTACTAGCTTCTTTCTGAGGTCCAGATAATGCTCTTAATGATACTCTGAGAACTTGGGTGGTACTGGTTCATACCCATAGGATATGTCTGACCACTTGTGATTTCTAAATTAATTAGTTTGCTTCTCTGTCAACCTTCTACAGGTATGAATTTTCTGAATTGAAAAGGATAGGTGCAAGGTATGTTGATGATAATAACCCAAATCAAAAAAAAACATCCTAGGGAAATCAGGCAGCAGAAATGTCTTAGTTGACATATCTGAGTTTGCATTTTTGCTTGAGGCTTCCAAATAAGGACTTTAAGCTGCTCTGTAGTAAGCTGCTCTGGCCATATGGTGATTAACATAGCAGATGTTGTTATGGCACCAGTGAAGCTAATGGCACAGTGGATGAAAAAGCCAATCGACAAGTAAACAAACATTTAAATTACAAATGTTGATGCTATGAAGAGAAGGAACAGAGTTTGAGTATATAATGATGTGCAAGACTGCCTAGATAGTATTGGCAGTGGCGGTCTCTGATCTGAAAACTGAGATTAAAAGGAACCAGGCATGAAAATCTTGAGGGATATAGTCGCAGACAGAAGAAATATATGTAGAGGGTGTTGTCAGAAAAAAAAAGTTTGGCTTGTTCTAGAAACTGAAAACATCTCAGTGTAGTTAAAATATAGAGAATGAGTAAGAGAATGGAACAAAGTGATGTTGAAGGGCACAGGAGACATATTAGCTATGGCCTTTAGGCCATGGTGAGAAGTTTGGCTTTCATACAATGGAAAGCCAGCAAAGAATTTTATGGAGGAGAATGACATATATCAAAGAAAGTTTGTTTGGGCCACCGTATAGAAAGTGTTAGAAGAGGTTAGTAAGTTCCAGGACAAAGGTAAGAGAGTGTGGAAACAAGCATAGGCTCTAATTCTAATACCCTACCTCTATACTATGTAAGTTTTGTGACTGGCAAAACTTATTTAACTTCTTTTCATCTCAGTTTCCTCATCAGTAATATGGAAATAATCATAGGGTTGCAATGAGGACTAATGAGATAATATGTGAAGAGTGCTTAGCCTGCAAATAAATGGTAGCTTTCAGTAAATCATGGCCAAAATTAATATTAGTGTTATACACAGTATGGAGAATGGACTTCAGGGGGCTAAGACTGAAGTGCAGGGAGTCTGGTAAATCAATCTGTTTTAGTAGTCAAGAGGAATGATGACAGTAGTGTAGATTAGGATGGCAACAGTGGAAGTGTAGATGGATTGTACAGATTTTTACATGGGAGAATCACCCCATTTTCTGATTGGATATGGAGGAAATATAGTGATATGGGTTGGATAAATCCCTACTCTCCAGGTTGAGTGTCTGGGAGGAGAGTCATGGTGCTTACTGAGAAGGGGAATTCAGACACAGGAGTGAATCACCAATCTTATACATTTTTCCGAGACAGGAAACAAAGATATGTGTAGGTGGAAGGGGAGAAAAATTGACAACAGAGGTAGCACAAGCCACCTGGAAATAGTCAACAACAGGGCTAGAACCAAAGAGAAACAGAGACAGTGGCAAGAGCAGAGACAGAGAGAAGGAACACACTCCAACTTTAGCCCTTCCATTCAGCATTTTTCTGTGAGCGGCTTCTTAGCTTGTTCTTTCTTAAATTTCAGAAGTGTCACAGATTGTCCACAGCAAGCTAAATGTCCCCTGAGAGAGCTTATATTTCTGTCCTGCCCAAAACAAATCCCCCCAGCTTCACCCTGCCTTGGGAATTTTACATTTAATTGTCACCAGATTTGGGGCAAAACCATCCTATCTTCCCTTCAGTCTAGACAAGAGATTTTGGAAAGCAGACCATGCAAATCTCTAAGCTCACATTAAACTGAATTGCAAAGGCATAAAAACCCACAGAAAAAAGAAGGTGTGAAATTTGATCTCTAGTTTGCTGTTCTGGCTTAAGAGGTTTCTGTTATTTAACACAGAGGTGTGAATAGAACATCCCCCTTTAGTAAGTGAAACTTTCTACACCAGTGAAGCAGGAACAAATACCCAGGTCTATAAAGTACAAAAGTGGAAGTGTGACTTGGGTGGGTGTGAGATGTTCTCAGTTCTTGGAACTGTAGTGCACGTTATGCATCTTCCCTTGCTTTCTCACAGTTTTTGTACGGATAATAGATAATAGTAGAAACATTGCCAATAATGAAATCAAAGTGGTTGTTAAGGATGGATGGGTGTTATATGTGGGGAAAAGTGTTTTGTTATATCTTATTAGCCTAATTAAAGTAATCCTAGTGTTATAATATTATGAAGTCTTACTGTGGAATTAGAAAGGTTCTTCTATAATGTACCCTCCAGATGTCATAAGCCTCATTCTATTAAGTAGTCCCTCCTAAGCAAGGAGAAGGAAGTGGTGTAGTAGAAATAGCATAGACTTTGGAGAAAGTAAGGCAAAATAGTATAATCTCATTTTTACTATTTTCTAGGTTTGTTACCTCAGAAAATTTACTGCATCTTTCTGAACCTCAATTACCTCATCTCTCATCTGCACATGAGAGTAATAATAGTACTTACCTCTTATGATGGCTGTGAGAATGACATTGGATAAATTCATGTGAAAAATTTCATTGCAGATTCTGGAGTGCATTGATGATAGTCACATCATGGTAATTATTTCCTCTTTTCACCTGTGAACATCCTTCTACCTTCTGTTCAAAGTCATACATACATAAACAAGATGACTGCATGACATTTCAGGAGATATCACAGGCCAAGTAGGGAGCATAAAATATTAAGGGAGGGAAAGTGAAAGTAATGGTAGAGTAATGGTAGCTCAGAATGTTGACTCTCTTTTATATGTGAATTAATTGTTTGGGGTTCTGTTTTTATTTGTGTATTTATTTATTTTTAATTTGTTAATGTTTATTTATTTTTGAGAAAGAGACAGAGTGAGAACAGGGGAAGGGCAGAGAGAGAGGGAGCCACTGAATCTGAAGCAGGCTCCAGGCTCTGAGCTGTCAGCACAGGGGCCAATGCGGGGCTCAAACTAACGAACCCTGAGATCATACCCTGAGCCAAAATTGGTTGCTTAATGGACTGAGCCACCCAGGTGCTCTTGGGGTTTTGTTTTTAATTCAAATTTCTATTCCCTGCAATAAGACGTAAAATGATATAGGAAGTGATTTCTGCTCCCTAGGAGGAGAATCTAAAAGGAAACCACTCTTTTGGTTTGTAAACTTACTTAAAACAGAAACAATTAAAAACAAAAGTGCTATTCCACCTAAGGAACAACTTCACTCCTTTATTTCTTCCACGTTTAGCTCTAATTGCAGTAAACATTCCTGCAATATGAACAGAAGCTATGTTTGTAAAATTTGTTTTGGAGAGGAAAACAAATGAAGAGAAGGATGTAAGGATATAAGTATTAGGCACCTTGTACTCCCATTTGAAGTCCCAGATCTTCTGTTTAGTAGCTTTGTGTCTCAAATAAACCTCTCTCTTGGCCTTACTTCTTCTACATGTATTATGTGAAGGCAGAATTAAATAATTTTAAAGGTTCTTTTCAGTGTAAAATTCTATAAGAGTGTTAAAGTAAAATAATGAAGTTGTTGCTTTCTTATTATTTGCAGGCAGCTTGCATAAATCCATGACCAGACCTTGGGAAGTCCTAAAGATTACTTTATATTCTCCATGTTCTACATATGACAAACAATAAAAACCTCACTGAAGCATAAAATAAGATTAAGGGAATTAAATTTTTAAAAACTTTATGATGACTATTTGAATGAAATAAGTATTAAGTTTCAAATTGTTTCCAAAAAATGATTTTGTGGTCTATGTTGCTGGTTCCCTAATCAAAGTTTACTGTGACTTTTGGATCATTTGCCATGTCCATGATGTTACTCCAGTACAGAATTCCTGGCAGAAAATTCCAGATCACATAAGGAGAATTCCTAATTCAGCCTATAAATTCATGCATTAATGATATTTTTCATGTAAATTGGAATATACCCAAAGGCAAAAGAGAGAGAGAAAGAGATTTTAAGAAGTACCTATGCTATTGTGATAGAATAATAAGGAGGTAGTGTTCTCAAAGTTTTGAAACTTAGCCAGCATTAGCAATGCAGGCTTAAGTGGCAGGGCCATTTTCAAAGTGCTAGAGTACCAAGGTAGGAAGTCAGAACCCAATGGACCAGGTGGTAGACAAAAGAGAAGAAAGGGGACATAAACGGTGAGGTTGGATTTCTATCATTGCAATTGTAAATGAGTAAGCAGTATTCACATTAACCAGGCCTTGGGGCAAGAAAAATTTGGATACAAAAGGAATAGACTGAAATACCATACGTTATTTTTGTGGTGGTGAGACCACTAGAGTAAATATTTCAGGATGTCCTTGCCTGCAAGACACAATTTAGACAATCTCAAAGGTCAGTTTGGGGACAATTGCATGGTTTTCAAACTGATTCATTAGGTGACCTTGGATCATTTACACATCTTCCTTGAGCATCTGCTCTTTCATCTGTAAACAAGTCTTTTCTAATTTTAATATTCTGTTCTCTTTAAGTATAAAAAAAGAATCTGGGTGTTGGCTATAGAACTTATTAGTCATTATATTCTTTTTTTTTCTTTCATTAAGGAGGGATTATAATTCCACGGCTTACCTTGATGAGTATACTGAAATATTCAAGATGGGTAGCAACAGTACCAGCAATGCTGAGACTGACTGCAATGCTACTAATGTGACATTTCAGAACTCCCTTTATGCAACTACCTACATCCTCATATTCATCCCCGGTCTTTTGGCCAATAGTGCAGCCTTGTGGGTTCTGTGCCGCTTCATCAGCAAGAAAAATAAAGCCATCATTTTCATGATCAACCTCTCTGTGGCTGATCTTGCTCATGTGCTGTCCTTACCTCTCCGGATTTACTATTACATCAGCCACCACTGGCCCTTCCCGAAGGCCCTTTGCCTGCTGTGCTTCTACCTGAAGTATCTCAACATGTATGCCAGCATTTGTTTCCTGACGTGCATCAGCCTTCAGAGATGTTTTTTTCTCCTCCAGCCCTTTAGGGCCAGAGACTGGAAGCGTAGGTATGATGTAGGCATCAGTGCTGCCATCTGGATCATCGTGGGAACAGCCTGCTTGCCATTTCCCCTTCTGAGAAGCACCTACTCATCCAACAACAATCAGTCCTGTTTTGCTGATCTTGGTTACAAGAAAATGAATACTGTGGCTTTGGTTGGAATGATTACAGTTGCTGAGCTGGCAGGATTTGTGTTCCCAGTAGTTATCATTGCATGGTGTACCTGGAAAACTACTATATCCTTGAGGCAGCCACCAATGGCTTTCCAAGGAATCAGTGAGAGGCAGAAAGCACTGCGGATGGTTTTTATGTGTGCTGCAGTTTTTTTCATCTGCTTCACTCCTTATCATATTAACTTTATTTTTTACACTATGGTGAAGGAAACCATCATTAGCAGTTGTCCCATTGTCCAAAGCACACTGTATTTCCACCCCTTTTGTCTATGCCTTGCAAGTCTCTGTTGTCTTTTGGATCCCATTCTGTATTATTTCATGGCCTCAGAGTTTCGTGACCAACTATCTCGCCATGGCAACTCTGTGACCCGTTCCCGCCTTATGAGCAGGGAGAGTGGTTCATCAATGATTAGCTAAAAATAAAATACCTTTTCAATTGTGACTTTAGCTATGTTTTCTAGCTTTTTCCAAAGGCCAGAATGACCAGCCAGACAATTTGTTTAAGAAATTTGTGAACAATGGAAATTTTCTTCTGTGATAATTGTGGTCACAAGGATGTAATGGTGGAGGCAGTGTAAGAAATGTGGGAGAGGAAGGAAGGATAGAGTTTGCTTGTTTCCTCTTTGAAATTCAAAATACTTTCTTAGACCTAGATCAAGTTTTTACAGATGTTTTCAACCAAATGGAGATTGTATATTTTATCTTAAACATTACTTCAGTAAATATATTGTTAATAAGATACAATAAATACATGAATCTTTTCCAAGATATAAAAGTAAATTTCTATTATATTAAAACTTTTATTTGTGAATGAGAGTAAAATTCGTCAATCTTTTTAAGAGATAAATAAATGCACAGGCAAAGGGGGAGTGACAATTGAGGCAATGTGTGCATAAATTTCAGGGCCACAAACCTATTACTGAATAAAGGGCATAGAAATTTTTTCACTCACTAAAAATGTATTGGATACCTATTGTATTCTGGATTACCAGAATTTCATGGGTACTTTCACAATTTACCATTTCATCTGGTCCTTTTTTTTTAAAGTTTTAATGTTTATTCATTTTTGAGAGAGAGACAGAGTGTGAGTAGAGGAGAGGTGGGGGCGGGAGGGGGATACAGAATCTGAAGGCCCCAGGCTCCAGAATCTACAGGCTCCAGGCTCCGAGCTGTCAGCACAGAGCTCAACATGGACTCAAATCCACAAACCATGAGATCATGTCCTGAACCAAAGTCGGAGGCTTAACCAACTGAGCCACCAGCCTCCCCTCATCTGGACCTTCTAATAAATTTGTGGAAGTTTCCAATACAAGTGAATAAATAGAACCTCAGAGAGGTGAAATAACTTGCTTGAGTATAAACAGTGGTGAGCCAAAATTTTTTCCTGTATACACCGTATATACTTAATTTATTCCTTCTATTTTTGTTGCTACTTTTACTAGCTCAATATTAAACTTTACATTAAAGGTGAAGACACAGACCAAAGCTAAGCTGCATGAGACCAAGACCATTTCTACACATTTTGCTTGATATTATCTGAAAAGTCTGGATTATTGGTATGGCATATAATGCTTCAAGCTACAAAGTATCAAATGATAGATAGGTTGTTCCAATCTACAGTCTTAATGACCAGGGATATGAGACACAAATAGCTCATTCTTTCCTACTACATATATTTTAGGTCTTAATGTATGTCATACAAAACCCATAAATAGATGAAATAAGGTTATAAAGCTGAGAGATGTAGAAATTCCTTATATATGGGTTTTATCGGATATATCATTTGCAAATAACTTCTGCTATTCAGTACATTGCTTTTTTTGTTTTGTTTATGGTTTATTTCACTGTTCAAAATCTCTTTTATTTTCATGTAGTCCCAAGAGTTTATTTTGTTTTTTGTTTCCCTTGCCTTAGTTGACATATCTATAAAAATGTTACTATGAGGGGGGTAGCCAAAAAAAAAAAAAAAAAAAAAAAGCTGAGAGATGAACATCTTATGAAATTTAAATGTTTTGGGAACTTTTCAGAATGTTTGTCTTATTAAACATTACTATACAACACTCTGAACAAATTTATGTTTATTGAGAAAATTCTCTGTGAGTAGAGCTCACAGAATTTTATTAGAAACCGAAAATATTATCATATAATAAATGAATGGGAGAGAAATATGTGTCCTCTTTCTGGCAATCTCCTTATCCTTATTTTTCTAGCAGTTATGTCTATTATTTCAGAGTCATTATGAGGGATTTGAATATAAGCAATCCTCAGCTTCTCAGGTTGTCATGTATGAAGCTCAATACATCCCTCTCATCATTTATGCCCCAAATTTAAATAACACAGTCACTTTGCATGGAAGGAGGAGAAGCGAAGTGGTTGTCTTCTTCAGAATATCCACGTGAACAGGCAGCTAAAGAAGAAGGAGGGAAAACTAAAAAAGGAGAAATTAAAAGAAAAAAGAACAAGGTTTCTAGGGAGGAAGAGAGTTCTGTAATGATAAATTAATGAAACGAGTTTTCTTTTTTTAGTGTTTATTTTTGATGGAGAGAGAGACACAGAGATAGAGCAGGGGAGGGACATAGAGAGAAGGAGACACAGAATCCGAAGCACAGAGCCCGAAGCTGGGTTTGAACTCATGAACCGTGAGATCATGATCTGTGTGAAGTCGGGTGCTCAACCAACTGAGCCACCCAGGTGCCCCACTGAAACTGGTTTTCTTTTGCTTTATTAACCTACATCTGAAAGCACTGCTTAAAGAAGGTTTCCAGATACGTTTGGAGTTAATGGACGCATTATCAGAATGACTGTCTAGGCAGTCCCACTCTAAGGACATTATTTGGAAAGGAAATTATGTGGAACTATACATCCTGCTGTTTGTGGAGAAAATGTATTTCAGTTCTAAATACTCACACCTACTTTGAAGTTGTTGACTAGAGATAGTACTTCAAACACAAGATTTGTGGACTTGTGGTCTAATTAATAAATGTATCTTTCCTTTGGCTACCATAAAAGTAGAATCTTTGGGTTTTGACATATGAATCCCTATTGTAGTGAGAGAGAAAAATATAACATTATAACAAAATATAACAAAATAAGGAATAACATTATCACAAAATATAACATTATAATAAAATATAACAAGATAAGGAATAACAATATAACAAGATAAGGAATAACAATATAACAAAATAAGGAATGCTGGTTCTTGAATTTTGAAGGCCTGGATGCCTTTATTCAATGATGGTGTAAAGGTAAATGCTTGATCTTATGAGATAACAGCTCAATAAATCAGTGAGATTGCTTTAAGGTATTACAATGAACAACAGTCTTAACACTTATCTGTATACCTATTACAGAAACATCATGCAAGACAAATAGGACAGGAAAATATATCTCCTTGAATCAGCTTTTCAAGAAGTCACTATAAAAAGCTTTACATATTTGCCTCAACATCTCTGAAAGATACTTGTCAAAATCTGCTTAGATATCATTCCGAATCTTATAATTCTGATAAAAGGCTCTTTAACCTAATAGTTTCATAAAAAGAAGATAGATATTTTTAGAGATATTTTGGTGCAACAATCTATATGACCTTAAATGCAATTTATTCATAATTGGTTATGCTGTTTAATTTTAGAAAGCTTTAAATACTAGCACAGAGTACATATATAACACTTAACCAAAATTAAATAGATTATCCTTATGTAGTATGTGGCCATTTATATAAAAATGTTAAGCATAATGCTCTTACTTGAAAATTTAACTTTCTCACTATAAAATTACAGCTATGGGGAAAATCGATTTCTCTTTACATTCTTTTGCACATTTTCTAAGAATACAACCCATCATAAAAGTAAACTTAGTGCTTAAAATATAAATTTAAAGCCTCATTTCTCTTTTAAGTAGTAAGTAGTTTAGGTATCATATTAATTATGGTTATTATTATTATATTATTATATATTAATTTAGGTGTCATATTAATCATATGGTTAAAAATATTTAGCCATAATTTTCTTTTTGGAATAGAAAGTTGGTTTCAATTTTTCATATAGATGGTTTCCATTTTCATTGCTTTGTATAAGTAAATTACATGTGCAGAATTTTTGACGTACAGAATTGATAGAAAGGGAACAACTGGTTTGCAGAAGTTGAATTTCAAGTTGGCTACTAAAGGGAAAGAAAGACACTACCAAACTTCCAGGAGATATTATTATACACTAACAGATTTCCTGATCTTCTGGGGTTGGGAGTAGATTTCCATGACCTGAAATGTTGGGTCTTACATGATGGATTTTTTTTTCAAGTTGTTGCCAAATACAGAGAAAAAATGTAAGGATTCTTATTGGAAAACTTTCTGAGCCAAAGGTAGAAAGGGAAAAAATCTGGGAGGTGACTAATTACAACTACTGTAATTTGGCTAAAAATATACAAGAAATAACGAGGTTGTAAAATTTAGAGATCTGGTTCTAGTTCAAGATGAGGACATTGGGAGAACCTGTACTCACTTTCTCCCAATGGCACACAAAGTCTAAAGCTGTATATATAACTATATATACAGTATATATAGATAACATGTGTATGATGCCTTGGTTTTTGCAGCTGTCATCCCGGAGATAACCCTTGAACACTTGGTTCTGGTGGCCAGAGAATCTTGTGTTTCTGGGCTCCACAGGTCTGTAATGATTAGAAAGATAGTTCTTGACAGGTTACTATTCCCAAAGCACTGCACATGCAGCAAAATGAAACATACACCGAGCTATTCTGTGTAGCTTCTCCTGGAACTTAAGGCTTAAGGGTAGGTTTAAGGTTTGGCACACATCTAGGAACTATAAAGTTGCACTCAGAAAACATAGGCTGGGAAACACCATTAGAATGCTGTATCTCTACGTCACTGAAGCTCATTGGCATCTCCAAAAATAGAGATGCAGAGGCCCAGTTTTTCTGACTGTGCCCAGAGAACAAATCCAGCCTGGCTCCAGTGTCCTGTGGGGCTCACACTGGCAGTCTCATAGGACTGTATAGATTTGCGTTCTTTAAAAGACGTTGTCTGAGGGTCTGGCTTTTAATCAGACTAAAGCAACATCAAAGATGTTTTTCACATTCACATTATAAGAGTCCCAGAAGGAGAAGAGAGACAGAGACAGAAAATTTAAAGAAATAATGGCTGTCGGGTTGCCTGGGTGACTCAGTTCGGTTAAGTACCTGACTTCAAGTCAGGTCATGATCTCGCAGTTCAAGAATTCAAGCCCAGCATTGGGCTGTGTGATAAAGGTCATGGCCTGAAACCTGCTGCCTCTGTCTCTCTCTCTCAAAAAATAAATAAATAAATAAATAAATAAATAAATAAATAAATAAACATTAAAGAAATAATGGCTGAAAACATCCTCAACTTGAGGAAGGAGACAGACATACAGATATAGAATGTCCAGAGATTTACAAATAACATGAACCCAAAAAGACCCCCACCAAGACATATTATAATTAAAATATCAAAAGTTAAATATAAAGAAAAAAATCTTGAAAGTAATAAGAGAAAAATAAATCTAATGTTAGATACAAAACAAACCCCA